GACTGTTGGTGAAAATCCAATGATTCTTCTGGATTTTACAGTTTTTGGCCCATCAATTGTGTAATTTTGGCAATTTTTAAAACTCTAACATGCCTTTCAAAGCTTTCAGCAGGTTTTAGGGTTCCCATGCTTTAACTCCACTTCGTATTGATGCATTCTGTGACTCGAGACCTTTCATGATGTTGTTATATCAGGAGACTGCATTGTGCAACACGGAGAAAACATAAAAATACTGGCATCAGCCAGGCTTTGAATCCTCCTGGTACATTTCTGTGCGGATGTTTTGTCCATAAAGAAACCTTGCGGGAACACAATTTTCCAAGTAAATGCATGTTGTTCTGGATTAATGACTGCAGGTGAAGCAACACTGAATGTAACATAACAATAACGAAAAAAAAGAGCACGTCCACAGTTTATTAAAATGTATTTCACAGTTCTGGGGTGTGGATGGAATCAAATTAATGATAGCACAGTTTCAGTTACAGATAATGGTGTAATATGAAACAACACTCACCCACTTGGGCATCTTGCCCCCATCGGGGTCATGATGGTGATATTGCAAGACAAGAACTGTAGCGATTACTGAGAGTCCAACAATGACCATAGTAGTGGCAAAGTACTGAGCTGGGAAAAGAAGAAACAGAGGAGAAAGTTCAGTAAAACGAGTGAAATTACAAGCAGGAAACCAGAGAATAACACAAAGGTGTGTAAGGCAAAGAGAGTAAAACTTCCCTCTCATCTCAAGCACACCACTTATTTAGTGTGTCACAGAAATGCAAAATAAAAAACTACTTTCTATTCCACCGATTCAGAAAAAGCGACTCAGATCTCTAAATAAAAAAATATTAATACTGAATCACTGCCTGAACTTGGCTACATTGTGATATAAAAGAGTCCTTCATGAGAAATGACTACAGAAATTTGCACCCACGCCTTCTCTCTGATAGTAGCTGACACCCGTGGCGGCTGCTTTTAACTCGAGTCTGGCTCACCTATTAGAGGCACCGAGTCTGACGTGGCGGGCATAATCTCCGCAACCAGCAGCATGAAGACAGTCAGGGAGAGCAGCACCGTGATACCTGAAAGGACACCAAATCTCAGTGAGCACCTCACAACAAAACCACCAAGAAAACGTATTCAGGTGAGTTATGACAGAAACCCGCAGTTCCTTGATGTTGTAATCTGCCACAAATCAGGATAAACTGGAGGCTGCATGACAACAAGATACATTCAAACACACTTTTCCTTCTCTATAAATAATTTTGTCACAACATGCAGGAGATTAAGTGGATTATTTCACTATTCCTTGCATTAAAAATACTCATCTTATGTTAATTCTGCCTTTAAAAAAAAAAAATGAAGTGAATGCTATTGTGATGATGATGATGATGGCGGCGGCTGCACAGAATCCATGGGATCGGCACTGCACAGCAGCTGGAGCTTATTGAAGCTTATCGTGTCAAAGTCACTACATAACCTGAGAGAGTACAAACGAGGCCAACAGGTATCTTTAAAATACCTGTGAGGAGAGCAGCTTTCACTAATGAGCTGACAGCACTAAGCCACCGGCTCCTATTGTAAAAGCCTGAACTTGTCAGGAGAAATAAGTATCACATCTTAATTAACTCGGTGCATTCTCATATACATTTCACACTTTTGCAGCTGCCTTTACGTCGTCATACCTGCTGCTGCTGCTGCGGTTGCTTCTTCGGGCCAAGAAAGGGCATTTAAAGCCCTTTAAAGGACAATAACTGGTGCATGGGTGAGCTCCAGTGTCTATAAAGATTTTCCTTTTACCTTTATTGGATAGCAACAGAGGAGATAGACGAGAAATGTGGAGAAAAACAGCAGCAAATGTCATTTCCATCCATGTGGGATGCACTTTAATCAATTGGCTTTGCTGCATCCTCTCAAATGCTTAATAGTGTAATTTAAGGAGAAAAATATCAAAGAGTTGGTTCATTCAAGCATGAAAAACAGTGTTTTCTGCATATTATCATTTTATTGGTGTTCTGCCACCATCCCTAACTATTTAAAAACAACATTTAAGTAGCTCAAGAGAGACTTATTTCTACAGTGACACCGCTTCAGTTGCTCTGAATACAAATAATCTACCACCAACATCCACAATACAGAAGGATTTTTTAACCAAAGTAGGAAATACTAATAACCATTCCTGGGAAATGTTTCTGGTCAGTTTTTTAAATGGTATTTAAAAGTCACGCCTCATGTCTGCACATCGAAGTTACATATTCAGAAGTTTTTCTTCCTGCCTCGACATAGATGTAACTCTACAGCATGCAGACCAATGACGCCCTGCTTCTATTTCCACTCATCCCTCTGTCGCTCGCTGCAGCTCAAACACACCAGCTCACCTAGAGACTCTAAGTAATTTTACTCAGAGTTAATCAGCCAGATAATCATCCCTACATATTTGAACCAGAGACCAGTTCTGTGGAAGAAACCCCAGAAGTCTGAATCTGTACTTTTGAGTTTTTTTTATCGACATGCTGCAGTTCTGAGGTGAAAATGTTCAGTCATGAACATCGCTCACAATATATCTCTAAACATATAAAAATACATCACATGGACATACAACAAGGTTACAAAAAAATGATTTCCTCTAAAATTTATAACCCTTTGACAAGGAGCCTAAAGACACTCAGCAAGCAACGTTTATTTATGAGGAAATTGATGTTCTGGTTTCTCAGTTTTCTTCTATTTTTTTTTTGTATTTCCAAAAACATTCCACTTTCTCCCTGTACACTTCATCACTTTTAGCTGTCAACTTCACACCTCTTTTCCCCATCATGAACTCTCTCCCTGCCTGTCCAAAAGGATGCCTCGATTGAATCCATGTTTCTAAAACAGCAGCTTCAAGGTGGAAACGCTCAGTCATGGCGCTGACTGCAGAAAATAAACACCACATGGACATGGTAACAAGGTGAGAAGGTAGAATTTTCTAAATTTCTGCAAATGAAACCTAAACTATCTGGACAGATGTACAAAACACAAGCATACCTTTTTTTCTAATAAGGAGGAACTAAACTTTTAAAGAACCCCTTTCTAAATATGTAACTTTGATGCACAGAGTTGAGTTTTTAGCGGTTTAATCAATGCCTGAAGATTAACTTTAAAAACGTAGATATAATGCTAATAAACATGATCACAGTATTGCCTATGAGTTGTCTAATATAAAAATTTGATAAGAGGAAAACATGCATTTTTATATATTGGCCAATGTTATATGTTTCTCCAGGTTTTAATTATTCTTTTTCTACTGTACATTTTAAGTTGTATAACACCAGAGCTGAAACGCCTCACACTCAGATATGTTAGCGCATCATGCAAAATGCAAAGACTGTGACAGTAAATATTCACAACACCAACACGTTCGTGTCGATCCATTTTGAATTTCACAAATCACACTTCTCGTGACAGTCCAATTCTGCCGAAATTAAATCTGGAAATAAATGCTGCCATGAAAGCACTCTTTCCTCAATGAGTGTTCACCATTATCAAATAATCCTGACATCCAATGGGCAGGTTGATGGACTGACTTCATATACCGACTTTGAATGAACAGCACGCACAGACGGTTTAAGTGTGAACTATAACTCATCACATATGCCTGATTTGTGCTGCCAGCTACATTATTTAAAACCCTTTCAAAAACCCTTTCTGATAAATGAGCATTAAGATGTACATATCAGCATGTTGCAAATTCACACGGGTGATTCTTACGTCATATTTCCTCTCTGTCTACAAGTTATCCAAACATCAGACGGAATATACATGTGAAAAACACATGCGTGAGCCCACACATCTGCCTTGGCAGCACTGTTTGGTTAATGAAGCAATCCAGCTGCAACACTGGACTCTAATTATTTGAGGAAACTGCATGAATCAACGCCTCAGACTCCCACATACAGCCGACACACCACCGTCGCCCCCCACCTGCACACTGATACTGTCTACATAAAGCCTTTTATAATTTATGCATGAAACATTCAAGTCAACTGTGACAACCGAGATAAGATTAAACAGTTTTCTCGGTCCTCTGACAGTTCAGTCAGTCAGTCAGCGATGATTATCAGGCCACTTCACACGGCCACAGAGGAAGTGGATTAATGACGAGCCACTACTTTTTTTCTTTTTTTTTTTCTATAAAAATGACTGATTATCCAGTAGAGAAATGGGTAGGGATATTAAGTTGTTTGAGAAAATTGAAGAATAATAGAAGGGGTTGGCTGTGTGTCAAAAACCACTCGGGCTGTAAAAGGATTTGACTGGATTTACTTTGAGTCATTTTAACAAACACATAGATCACAGTCATACCGACCCTGGCAGGAGGCCACCAAAGTAACCCTCAAGAAAGTTGTAAACCTTTTAATACAAAATGATAAAAATTTCCAACGTGCTGAGTTTAAAAACTTCTTTCTGCAGTAACTGTGAAATAATACATCTGGGAGTGATTTGTGAAAGTTAGTGAGATGTGAATATGTTTTAAAAGAATCTGTCACCTCATTATGGCACAATTCAACGAGAAGAATCCAGAAGTTATATTACTATTTATTCTTTTTTTTGTGCCTGGTCCGACCCAAGTCATTTACTATTTAGCATCTGCTAAAACCCCATACTTTTTTCCTGGACAAAACACACTACAAGTACTTTACATTAGCTGTAGTATCTGTTTGACTTTTACTGTTTAGTACTGTAGCGACCTGAGGAAGTGAAAGCTTCCATGTTGGAAAACATAGTGGGGCTTTAGCTAGTAAAGGGACACCATGACAAAGACCTCTATGATGCTTATTGACTTTATAAACTCAGACTATATTATGAGGTGTGTCAGAAAAGTTACAGGACTGGTGTCACAAAAGATATATTTCAAATCCAAACTACAAACTACAAGCCTTCCCCTTCCAAGTAATCCTCCTGGAGTCTAACACACTTCCCCAGCCTTCTCTGCCACGCCGCCATGCACTCCTGGAAGGATTCTTCAAGGATCCTCCTCCACAGCTCCGTCATCACAGCCATCTTGATGTTGTCCACGTCTTCAAAAGAGGTCCCCTCGATGACCCCCTTGAGCTTGGGAAAGAGGAAAAAATCCCACAGAGCCAGGTGGGGTGAGTAGGGAGGCTGCTCCAGCACAGCGATGTTCTTCTCAGACAGGAACTGTTGGATGCTCAGGACATTGTGAGCAGGCGTGTTGTCATGGTGAAGCAGCCACAACTTGTCCTGACACAACTCTGGCCTCTTCTGGTGCACTGAACGAACAAACGCTGCAGGATCTCTTTGTAGACGTGCTGGTTGATCGTCTGAAGGGGAAAACTGGTAGTTTGTAGTTTGGGATTGAAATATATCTTTAGTGACACCAGTCCTGGAACTTTTCTGACACACCTTATAGAAAATCCACGCAATAACCCAGAGAAATATCTAAAAGCCATTCCTGTTTCTCTTTTCACATGTCTGCATGACAACAGAAGTAAACAAAGAATCATGCAAAGCTTTATGTTTCATGCTAATACCAATTATTTTTTGTGATCAGCCTAAATCCCAATCTCCTCACCAATGCTGGGACATCCGTAGTTTGCGAGTGACTTGT